GGACGTCCACTCCACGTGCACTTTTCGGCCTCGTGCGTGTTTTTGTTCCTGCTCGTTGGTCGAGGATGGTCCTCGATGGTTCTCGCCCAGAGAACACATGCACACGTCCAAGCGATGCCAGGCTGAACGCTCCTCCTGCAGAGGTCCGTGCCCGACCCAAGGCTGGGCTCGAGCCACTCGCAGCCCTCGTCGGCCCGCCTGCCGCCGCGCGGCTTGGGCCGCTGCCTCTCGCCCGGCATATGCCGGCGGGCCTCGGGCAGCCCCCGCGCTGCCCGCCGTCGTCGCCGCGCGGCGCTCTGGTCTCACGACGTATCGCACCCTGCCGCGTTCGAGCTGGATGCCTCGAGCCAGGAGAACAGGCGAAGGCTGGCAAACTGGCTGCTCCAACGGAGCTCCGGGAGATGGATCCTTTCTTCCCGGAAGCGCGATATAGTTAGTGCGCCGAGTCTCGTTCCGGGGACCTGTTTTTTCTTCCGGGGGAACCGTTTTAGCAGCCACGGATTTGCCAGCCCTCGCCCAGCTTCCGATTGAGCTTAGACGATTAATGAGGGGGGCTGGCGTCCATGACCATGCACGACATGAGGGGAAAGGAGCCCTGACGGGAACGGTACCGTCAGGGCGCTGCGTTGACCCAGGGCTAAATAAGGAACGAGGCCCCTTTTCTCCCATAAGTTGAACATCGCCTTCCCATGGAAAACCTCGGGAAAGCCGAAGGCAATCTGCAGAACAATCAAGGAACACCGAGCCCCTCCCCAACGAAGAGGGTTCCTTCTTCAGGGCCCCGGCTGTACCTGGACGTGGAAGCTGCCCCCAGGACTGGCACACGTCGTCCTGAAATTGTGTTTTGCTGAGGATCCCGGATGCCGAGAGGGGCCGAGGGAACCGACAACGGCGAGAAAACTCAGGACCCCATGTGAGCGTTTTTTATTCGGCGTTTCGACACTGGGCGGAAGGAGGGGGAGGGGGGGTCTGGCTGAGGCTCCACATACTCCGTGGGGGGGGGAGGGGGGGGTGCGAGGGCCCGCGCCGATCGTCAAAACAACGAATCAAAAAACGATCACCATCTCAGGACCCTTGTTTTCGTTATGAGAGGAAGGCTTGCGCCGATGACACTGCGAAGGACTGCGGAACAACGCCCAAGAAAACACGAGCAAGAACACGCAGCACTCTGGGGGGGGGCACCCTCGGCACCGCTCGAAAGCACCGAACAGCAGCCCGTCTTCACAGTCTGGACCATGGGCGTATTGGCCCGCACCGGGGAGGAGAGCTCACGAGCAACTGCTGACAATTTGGCGCCAGCGTGCCGCTCATGATCCCAAGGGCCCCACGCTGGGGCTGCACTTATTCAAGCTGGCTCCCGAAGAGTAGGTACAAGACTGGACACGTCGCTGCCAAGTGCCCGGTTCTCTCTCTCTCTTTTTCCCAACCCTCCATCGGTTTGGTTCTCGTTTGGGATGGAGCAGTGGGGTCGCCGACTCCCGTGTCCTTCTCCTCCCCCCCCGCGCTCTCCTCTCGGCTCCATCCTCTCGCATCCCTCTTGTGGGCTGCGAAGTGTCAAACTGTCGCCACTTTCGAGGGCTGCTGGGGGGGGCCAACAGAGTGGGGCCCCACGCAGACCCAGACGGGAACTCGCCATCCCTGGGGGGCTGCGAAGCGCGGAACTGCCGCCTCTTGCGAGGGCTGCTGGGGGGGCAACAAAGCGCGGTCCCACGCAGACCCAGACAGGACTTGGCCATCCCTGCGGGGCTGCGATGCGTGAAGCTGTCGCCACTTTCGAGGGCTGCTGGGTGGGCCAGCACAGTGGGGCCCCACGCAGACCCGAACGGGACCTCGCCATCCTTGGGAGGCTTCGAATTGGTAAACTGTCGCCACTTTCGAAGGCTGCTTCGGGGACCAGCGCAGTGGGGTCCCACACTGACCCAACCGGGACCTCGCCATACCGAGGGGGGCTGCGAAGTGTGTTAAACTGTCGCCACTTTCGAAAGCCGCTTTGGGGGCCAGCGCAGTGGGCTCCCACACAGATCCGAACGGGACGTGGCCATCCCTTGGGGGGCTGCGAAGTGTGAGACTGCCGCCACTTTCGAAGGCTGCTGGGGGGGGGCAACGGAGTGGGGTTCCACGAAGACCAGGCGGGACCTCGCCATAATGTGTTGGCTGGCTGCGAGGTGCTAAACTGTCGCCACTTTCGAGGGCTGCTGGGGGGGCAGCACAGTGGGGCCCCACGCAGACCCAAACAGGACCTCGCCATCCACGGGAGGCTGCGGAGTGCTAAGCCGTCGCCACTTTCGAAGGCTGCTTCGGGGGCCAGCGCAGTGGGGGTCCCACACTGACCCAAACGGGACCTGGTCATCCCTGTGGGACGCTGCGAAATGCTAAACTGTCGCCACTTTCGAGGGCTGCTGGGGGGGGGGGGGGCAGCACAGTGGGGCCCCACGCAGACCCAACCGAGACCTCACCATCCCTGCTTGGCTGGCTGCGCAATGTAAAACTGCCGCCACTTTCGAGGGCTGCTGGGGGGGGCAGCACAGTGGGGACCCACGCAGACCCGAGCGGAACCTCGCCATCCCTGGGGGGCTGCGAAGTGTGAAGCTGTCGCCACTTTCGAGGGCTGCTGGGGGGGCCAGCACAGGCCCCACGCAAACCCGAACGGAACCTCGCCATCCCTGGGGGGCTGCGAAGTGCGAAACTGTCTCCCCACTTTCGAGGGCTGCTGGGGGGCCAGCGCAGTGGGGTCCCACGTAGATCCCACAAAGACCTCGCCATCATCTAGCGGCTTCTGCCGAGGCGATTGTTCTTCCTGCCCAAAGTCTTCCTTTGACTTCTCCTTCCCAGTACAATGCCTCCTCGCCAGTTGTACCTCTGTTCTACGAGTCGGCCACGCACCCTGCGTACGACACAGCTATCCGCCGTGCACCGTTTCTTGCAATGTTGCTGTCGCATTGGTGTCGGCCCACCTTATATCATCCCTTGGTGTCGATGGGTTGGGTACGTCGCAGGGTCATTCTCGCTTCTGCCAGAAAACCGGAAGAAACGATGTGAGGGGGTTGAGGGTGTGATCGGAGAGGGCGCAAATCCAACGTCATGAGGCTTTGCTTCAGGGGGGGACTCTGATCGAAACTCCTCGAGCAAAACCTGACGCCCACTGCGATCCGCTGTCGCACACGATGCATGATTTCAACAGCCGTCAATGCGACATACTGCAATACGCTTATCCCGAGGATGGCGACGAACAGACTTGGATGTAAGCACGACGAACAACGGCTACAAACGCCATCACCCTGGGATGCTAGCCACGGAGAATCATGAAAAGACAAAATGTGCCAAATGTTGTTAGAGCTCTAAAGGCTGTGGTGCCCGGCCTCACCGCTCAGATGTGAAGGCGCCAATCACATGTATGATGAGGACGCCCCGACGAGACATGATATGCTTCCTCGGCGATTGCAGAAACATATTACCCTGGCGACGTACCCAACCCCTGCGCAATGCGGGGCGTGAGTAGCCTTGGCAACTTTATAAGGGGATGATGACGAGACATGGACGTATGTATTTCTGCGACCAGCATTTGGGAAGTCCCATTTGAGTCCGCCGCGAGGCCCCTCTATGCTGCCCCCCCTAGCAGGCCTCGAAAGTGGCGACACTTTCACAGATAGCAGCCCCCCAGTGATGGCGAGATCCCATTTGAATCAGCGTAGCACGTCACTATTCTGGACCCCCTGGCAGCCCTCGAAAGTGGCGACACTTTCACAGATCGCGGCCCCCCCAGGAATGGCGAGGTCTCATCTGAATCTGCGTAGGACGTCACTGTGCTGCCCCCCCCGCCAGCAGGCCTCGAAAGTGGCGACAGGTTTACAGATCGCAGCCTCCCAGGGATGGCGAGGTCTAAATTGAGTCTGCGTAGGACGTCACTGCGCTGGACCCCCCAGCAGGCCTCGAAAGTGGCGACAGTTTCACAGATCGCAGCCCCCCAGGGATGGCGAGGTCCAAAGTGGGTCTGCGTAGGACGTCACTATGCTGGACCCCCAGCAGGCCTCCAAAATGGCGACAGTTTGACAGATCGCAGCCCCCCAAGGATGGCAAGGTCAAATTTGGTCTGCGTAGGACGTCACTATGCTGAACCCTCCAGCAGGCCTCGGAAGTGGCGACAGTTTCACAGATCGCAGCCCCCCAGGGATTGCGAGGTCCCATTTCAATATGAGTAGGACGTCACGGCGCTGGACCCCCCAGCAGGCCTCGAAAGTGGCGACACTTTCACAGATAGCAGCCCCCCAGGGATGGCGAGGTCAAAATTGGGTCTGCGTGGGACGTCACTGTGCTGGACCCCCCTGCAGGCCTCGAAAGTGGCGACACTTTCACATATAGCAGCCCCCTCAGGGATGGCGAGGTCCAAATTGGGTCTGCGTAGGACATCACTATGCTGGACCCCACAGCAGGCCTCGAAAGTGGCGACAGGTTCACAGATCGCAGCCCCCCAGGGATGGCGAGGTCCAAAGTGGGTCTGCGTAGGACGTCACTGTGCTGGACCCCCCAGCAGGGCTCGGAAGTGGCGACAGTTTCACAGATCGCAGCCCCCCAGGGATGGCGAGGTCGAAATTTGGTCTGCGTAGGACGTCACTATGCTGGACCCTCCAGCAGGCCTCGGAAGTGGCGACAGTTTCACAGATCGCAGCCTCCCCCCATGGCAAGACGGGCAGGAGGCAGGAGAGAGGCGGGAGGACGCGACCACAGTCCTCTACTCTCTACTCAAAACGAATACCCAACCAAGGATTGTTAGGAAAAACAAACTCGCGACACACATGAGGCATCAGAGGCACGTAAGCGAAAACCTGGACACTCCCCGGAGGAGAACTGCAGAGAAACCTTGCAAGAGAGAAGCGACGAATAGTATACAGACGACTCGATGTACGATTCAAACTAGACCCAACCCTGCATTTCGTCAAGGCGCGCGTCAGGTAGCCTGAGAAACATACGCATCCAAAAAGAAACCAGGAAGTAGAGCAGGCCTTGCAATATCTTCTGCGCTTCGTTTCGTCCCCCATGTAGAAGCCCCAGTTCGGAGGCACAACTCCTGGGTCGGTGTTGACGCACTGGTAGAATGACAGGAGCAGGTTCCTGCCAAACCACAGGTCAGCTGCTATGCGCAGCGGCATGCATCCTAGCCTCCCTCTGACTGGTGCAATAGGGTCAGCTTGTGCGCAAGCCCTCGGTAAACCTAGGCAGGATGAGACGTTGTAGCAAGCCATGTGCACGGCATCTGCACACGGATGTTCCAGCGTGGGCCCCGAACACCAACTCTATGAAAACCGTGGGTGCAACCTATGTTGCGCAACATGATGCAAGCCGTGCGCAACACACCCCCAACACACGCGCGATACAAACGCAACTTGAAGTCAGCAGGACTGTGAACACCACAAACTCATCACGTATGCAATGGGTACGCATTAGGAACGCAACATCGCGCAACGTGACGTAGCCTGAACAAATACACTTGCAACATACCTTTCAAACACATGTGCTGCAACAGCACAGGCGGCACACAGCAACACAGCGAGCATCCAAGCGCACTTCGAATGAGGCACCGATGCAATACGAGTGGGATGTACAGGCAATAAGCTTGCAGGAAGATGTCACACCAATCCAGTACGATGTGCACGGTCATTTTGTTACAAATAATACCCCCGTGAAATACGCAAACACGTGAGCCGCATGGGCGGGGTCCTGTGGCACAACCCGTGGACACGGCCTCATGGGCAGAACATACTTCCATTTAAGCCCAGCGCCCTCCATGGCGCAAACCATCGGCGGGACCACGAGAATACGACGCATGTGCGCCACCCGTCTGCGGGACCCCTCGGCGGGATCCCATGGCTGGGACAAAGCTGCGCCATTGGATGCCCAGTTCCCTATACCAAAGGCAAGGCACCCCGAGAACAAGCAGCGATGGTAGGGGGTATGTGCACTCGGCAAGTTTCTGCCGTAGCTTGACGTGCCCCGGCACGTGCGCATGAACTCTGCCGGGTATGTGCCCGCGCCGACTTCGGCAGCCTGACGCTGGCATTAGGTCGGGCATGTCCCTCTACAGGCGGATTTTGCGCGACAATTGATAAAAAAAAAACGAATATGCCCAAACATATTCAAACATACAAAAAAAACTAAAACAACAAATCGTCCCCTGCCTATTATTACTATTTTTGAATATTCCTCCTGTAGAGGGACAGACCCGACTTAACGCTGGCATGAAAACAAAAAGGCCCGTTCGTTTGCGCAATAGCCCGACGGGCCTGACTATGTGCTGCCAGAAACGCCCAGAACGGCTCATCGAGGCACCGAGGCAGCGCCCATGTGCCCTCCCGAGCACGTGAAGCCAAAACACAGTCTGCAAAGCGCAGTGTGGCCCACCACTCGGAGGCTTCAATATGGCTCAACAATGTCCCGTGAGCTTATTACGGGCGCCCCTTGGACGGAAAACATTCTAGCGATGTGCCCGAGAAGTGACGCACACAAGCGAAACCCGGTGGATTGAAAACATGTTGTCGAACGCCGCTCACGTGAAAACAAGAACGACCGAACGTCCTGCATGGTGCGCCAGGAAGCCGGCTTCAGCGCAAGTAACTCCACTCTTATCTCGACTCGGAACCAAAGCTCCCCCCCACTTCCCTCCCGTTCAGCGCCCCCTCGTTGCCTCCCACAAGTGGCCCCGTGCCCCACTGCTTCCTCAACTCCCCCCCCTCCGCGGATAATCCCCCCTCCCAATCTTCCGACCACCCCCGAGCCTCCCTACCTCATCCCTCCCTCCTCAGGGAGGGGGACGCGGACGGCCGATTGACAGCGTACCGCACACCTCTTCTTGGTGCAGTGCCGGAGCCCAAGCATGGGGGTGCACTCTGCGACTAGGAAGCTGATCGTGCATGCTGGAACGCACCCCGCCGAGAAAAGCACGGAGGTGTACTTCAGAAGCCTGTGCCCACACGGCGGTGGATGACTTACCAATCAGGCCACCCCAACCCAACCGAAGACCCCCCGAATTTGACCCGAATTTCGGGTTGGGAGGGGGGGGGGCACGGGTCCCGTGTATGGTTTTCTCATGGTCCCCGACCCCGCCCCCTGGAGGGCAAATGGAGGCCTTCGGGTTGGCTTGGGGTGGTGCGGCGGGTGAGCGCAGGCGCTCCACCAGAAGCAGATCGCGCATGCTGGAGCGCACCCCGCCGAGAAAGGCGCGGAGGTGCACTCCAGAAGCCTGCGCCCACGCGGCCGGTGGATCGAGCGTTGGCAGAACTGGGCTTCGTGGAACCTGGCTCAGTGATGTGTACTGGGGGCGCCCCCCGTCCCAGTTCCACTGACCAGAACTGCCGTCACCCGAAAAAGCACCAGATATGGCAAACCTGGTTTAGTGATCCTGGCCAATTCAAAGGCTCCGGAGCCCTAGCACTGACCGGGTCCCCTTGCCTGGGGTCCTGGCCATACCCGAGTGGAGGAAAAACCGTTCCTTTTCACCGCAAGCGCTCCACTGGCAGCTCGCACCCGCACGCGGCACCTCTCGAAAATTCGCCGTGGCCAGCGTCCGCCAGCCGCCACGCCGCTGCCCCTCCACGGGCATCGCGGGGGCTCACGGGGGAGGAACGAGGGAGGGGAGGAGGAGGAGGAGGAGGAGGAGGAGGGGCGAGGGGAGGCAAGGGGACGAGGAGGAAGGGGAGGCAGCGAGAGTGTGTGGGGGGAGGAACGAGGGAAAGGAGGAGGAGGGGAGGGACGAGGGGAGGCAAGGGGGGGAATGGGAGGGAGGGTGTGGGGGGGGGGATGATGGTGAGGTCGGGAGCGAGGGCACGATAGTGTGGGGGGCATGGCACGTGAAGGGGGCGTTCCCGAGGGCGCGGGGGGCACGGCGCGGCAGGGCAGGGCACGCACCACGTCTTCGCAGGGACGGCAGGTTGCGGGAGGGGAAGCGACGCGAGGGGAGACGAGGAGGCGAGGAGCAAGCGGGGAGACGTAGGAGAACAACAAGTGACATGAACATAACATAAGAACTCGGAAGTCCGCGCGGATTTCTCGGATCGGCGCTGGACCCCCCTCCCTGGCGCGCGGAGCGCGCAGGGGGCGGCGCCGGAGGCGCCGCCGGGGGGCCCCAGCGCCGATCCGAGAAATTCGCGCGGACCTCCGAGTTTCTATGTGTATGTCACTTGTTGTTCCCCTAAGACGGGGGAAGGGGGAGGACGACACATGCAGATCGACAGCGGAGAGCGCCCCTCCCCCCCCAGGTCATGAAGAAGAAGTGGTAGATCAGGAGCAGCATGAAAGAGCCGAGGCTCTGCAGCTTGGGCCACCATACCCAGATGAAGACGCCGTGGATAAAGAAAATTATCCTGACCCCTAGCCCGCTCGCCTTCCTCAGGCGCATCCTCCTCAACGTCAACAACGATGCTCAAGCGACACCCTCAATCTATTCTGCCTTCCCGCCTGATGCCCACTCGCTGCGATGACATCGCCGTGCCAAAAGCAAGACTGCAGCGCCACAAAACCAGGTGAGGGCGCACCAAACCTGTGACGACACAAGTCGGCAAACCTTGCTCGTACATCGAAGCCGCCGCGATCGCATTGGGATTCCACCGAATCTAACCAGTCGATGCCCGTTCCCCCGTTCTTCTATCAAAGCTACGCTAGATGTAAGAGGCCCGCGGCTAAACAGACTTGGTTAACTAGTCGTGTGGCTTAGAGAGATGATACCCCCAAACGACATCACCACAGCACGGATAGCAACATAATCTAGTGTCTGAGACGGCCAAGTAAATGAAGACCCCCACTCGAACCAACATGGGCGACTTCACGGAAAGGACTTCCTTGAAGAGACGTGGCAAGATGTGCGCCCGCATTCTCAGATCCAGCGCCCTCACGTCCCACACGCACCGTTCATGCATGGCGACGCTCGCCTGTCGAGGTGACAGGCTACCGCCCGAGCGAACTCCCCTCTGGTGCCAGGCGCGCGTGGTCAAGCCCGAAGCCAGGCTTGCCGCTGCGATACATCGGTCTGTCCCTGCTCCGCTTCTGCCTCCTCCTCCCTCTCGCCCGGGTGACCCGATGGGGCCCGGTCACGGTGGGGCAGGTGAAACATGAGCTGGGGGCGATGGGGGCGGAGAGCAGAGCCGCAGGTGGAGCGGGGGAGCGGGGCTCCTCCTCGAGGCCCGGTGAGCGCCGAGGCGCGCTGAGTCGATAGGAGGACAAGGGCACGGAGCTGGAGCAGCGGCAGCACAGTCAAAACCTACAACGCAGAATGTAGGTGACCGAAAGAACGACCAATAATTAGCCTGGCGATGGACCCAACCATATGCAATTGCGAGTACCGCAAATGTGCATATCTTCTTCGGTGGCGATCCCTCTGGGGCCACGAACCGCGTGATGGGGGGTGCCGACATGTGTGGCGGAGTACACAACACGAACGAAAACGATAGGTCTGAGCATGAACGATGCTGAAACCCTGCGTTCGCATGCGCCAGAGCCAGAGCCGCGCTGGGAGGGCAGCAGAGCCGGAGCCGCGCTGGGAGGCAGCAGAGCCGGAGCCGCGCTGGGAGACAGCAGGAAGACAAGCAGCGCGGTTGCAAGCCGGAGGAGGTGCTCCGGCAGGGGCGGAAGCGGAAGAGCAAGGGAGACAACGCCGACGGGTCCAGGCAGGACGCCCAGAACAACGCCGCCGACCCGGTCCTCCGCAGCAGCAGGGAGGCGAAGAGCTTGCAGGCGGCGTGCGACGCACGCCGGGAGTGCGGCGACCTGTTCTTGCTCTTGCACCTCCTGGAACCACAAAACGTGCGACGGGTGTGCCGAAATGGGTGCGGCGGGCGCATGCGAACGCAGTCGCTGGGGCCTTCGGTGGAGCTCCCTATGGGGCCACGAAACGCGTGACGGGTGTGCCGAAATGGGTGCGGCGGGCGCCTGCGAACGAACGAACGACAAGGTAGGGCCGGAGGAGCGGCAGACGCTATCAGACCGCTACAGGAGGGAGAAGGGAGGAGGGGGAGGAGGAGAGGAGGAAGGAGGGAACGCGGGGCACCGTCTCTTCAAAACGAGGACCCAACACCATAGGATGGTTGGGAAAAAACAGGTGCCCCGAATCGATGAGGAGATAGCTGAGACCAACTTAAGCAAACCGAATCCCGGCAATATTTCGATGCACATCGATTGTCATGTGGCAAGCCGGAGTGCTGGTGGAACACTGTCGCTTCTCTAAAGCATGGCGCGCGATGAATAGTTAGATGGGGAGCACATACAAGCGTAGCAACAGGGCTCCCAACTACGAAGAGCACGAACCACATGCCCTTCTGGCGCTGCTCATTCCAGGCCATAGACCGCTGCATGGCTGCCACCTCCGATTGCCAGTCCGACTCCATCGGGCAAGAACTCCAATACGCACACGAGGCAAGACGAATCACACATGCATCGATAACGTCGCATGTCTCTCCTTGCGAACTATCCCACTCCATTTCCCACTGCCAACACACCTTCTCACTCAGCCCTTCATATACGTTTCTGTGCGACCGCTGGGTGGCCAAGCAGAAGTGCTCCCGAACGAAGAGGTCGGGCCCACATGGACGCTCCAAGCACAAGTTCACAGAGAAGAACAGGAGGAGGAAAATGAAGAGAACGGGAAGAGGGATGAAGAGATCTTGTTCCATGTTCTGTGACACCCTCAAGGTTGTGACTAGTTTTGACGAAAAGAAGAAGAAGGGTATGAGGAGGCCAAATCATTGTCGCTGAACAGGAAAAGATCAAGGGAGATGAGGAGGAGGCCTCCTACTCGTCCTCCTCGACCCCTTCCCCGTCCTGGCCCTGCGCATGCCCCTCCTCCAGCATCTCGTCCTCCTCCATCTCCCTCCCTCTCCTCCTGCGGAGACTGTCAGACACCGCGTGCGCCGCACGCCTGTACTAGGCGCCACTGGGACGACACCCTTGCAACGCACAACTGGCAACCTGGGGTGCCGACTTGTGCCCAGTTGGCCGGACCTGGTGGGTGACCGCTGGCCCTCGCAGTCTCGCTATACAACGACGAACGCACCCCCTCCTCCTCGGTCCCCCTCCGTTCCCTCCTCCTCCTCCTCCTCCTCCTCCTCCTCCTCCTCCTCCTCCTCCTCCTCCTCCTCCTCCTCCCCCTCCTCCTCCCACACGCTCCTCCGTAGCCACAGTTTGGCTCAAGATGCCAAGTTCCAGTGGAGCACGCGGAGGCCTATGATCCGGGGCAGGCATGATCTTTGAGGGCCTGGCAGTTCCTTTGCCTCCTGTTCTCCCTGCGCACCCTCCGTTTGCGCTGGTCATGGCATCGTTGGACCAGGTTCCTTGGCGTGCTGGAAGTGGTCCTCGTGCTGCTCCTCAGCCTGGCGGTGGTGGTGGCTGGGTCTGGAAGCCAGACCCCGAGAATAGTCTTAAGAAGGACAGTTCCTACGACGTGTGCATCGTACGCAAGCGCTGGGAGTACTCTCGATCTGGCCACCGCGAGTGCAGCACGCGCGGTGGCCAGTACGTTGATGCTGCTGATCACGTTCGCCCTGGTTGTGTCCCTCCCGAAGTGCCTGGGCAGGAGGCTCCTGGCGCTGCTGAAGTGCCTGTGCGCCCCCCACATCTGCTCAAGGCTCTGGAGCATTGGACCGTCCACGGCTCTGGAGAAGTGGACCTCAAGGCTCTGGATATTTGGACCCGTCCACTATGCGGATGCTTGTGAGGCTATCCTGCAGCACGACTCCATCGATGCCGTTTTCGCGGACGGCCTGAGCTTTTGGCGTGCCTCCCCGGTACAATTCGCCACGACACGCTGCTCACCAAGGCGCCCGAATGTCAAACGGCACTTCACGCTTGGGTTGACGCGAACCAAGTGGTTTTTGAACCAGCCGAAGAGGACACTCGCATCCTCGACAACTCGGATCCCCACGGCGACCCGCTCAAAATCTTGGGCGTCTTATCTGATCCCTGTTTGCATATGCATCTCGCTGTGCAGCACACCGCTACAAAGGGAAAAAGACGCCTGTGCACTGCACCCTTCTCCGGACTAGACGCTTTACCGCGATTGCAGGCTTGTGAGGTTGTACAAGTGCCACGCTATCTCATGCGTCGAGGGGGCCACGCTGGCGATCTACTACGCTGAGCAGGGCATTCTGCATCAGCTGGGCACCTTGCAAGACGAAATCTTGAACGACACAAATATTTCTCAGGAGGCTGCGCTGTGTGTGCACAGCTGAGCTCCTGTAAACATGAGCCGTGACATTGCGGTTTTAGGCCTCTCATATACGATCGCTTCCGGTATGGCTCCTCCCGCCCTGTCGACCCTGTTCCGGCCAGCCTCTGGGGGCCCAGAAACGTTTGGTGTCAATGCGACTCGCCGGTTTCACAGCAAAGCTCTGTTCGACCTGGCCGAGCAGGTCCACACTGCAATATTGAGACGGTCGATTTTCAGCATGACTGTCTGGTTGGTTGTCGCAGAGTGCAAGTGTTCCAAAGCAGGCTCCAACGCAAAGCCAAGGCAGCTGCCTCAGCGCGGCGGCGGGATCGGCAGCCCATGTGTTGCGCAGGTTTGTACATGTATGTTGCCTTCGATTGCTCTGTCATGCTGTTGTGAGGGCTTCTAAAGCCTTGGTTGAAACCTCAGGTGCCCTTCTACGTTTCCGTTGCGAGGCCAAGTTCGCGCATTCTGCGGTGGCAACTCGTGAGACGCCTCCCATACCATCTTGTCGGATCTTGCGGTACGACGCTAATCGACGCTAAATCGACGCGAATCGACGCAAAACGGACGCTAGTCGACGCTAACCGACGCTAAATCGGCGCATCCCACCGACTCCCAGACGCTAGCCGACGCTAAAGACAGAATTAAGAGGGTACAAATGGCTCCCATGCTTTGCTACCGAAAGACCGTCTCGGGTCTGGGCTTCTCGCGTCCGATCCGCTCTGGCACCCTCTGTACCCCAGGTGTGCCTCCACCAGCAGGCTCCAGGTGCTTCGGTGAGGTCCTTTACTGTGACGGGTGTGGCTCGCACGCCACAATTCATGCATCGAGTCTTGGCCAGCCGTGCAGGGCCCCTGGTCGGCCTCCCACCACAGCTGGAAGGAATGCTTGTCCCGTCTGTCCGCGGGCCTCCCTCCCCCCCCGAGCGGAGGTAATTTCCCACAGATGTGATTGCACCGTTCCGTGCCCAGGCCTGCCGTGGTCTCCACGGTCCTCTGGATCTGAATCTGATCCTTCCACCCACGCACCCCTCCTCCCTCCCCCTCCTCCCTCCTCCCTCCTCCCTCCTCCCTCCTCCCTCCTCCCTCCTCCTCCTCCTCCCCCTCCCTCCTCCTCCCCCCTCCCTCCTCTGGAGGAGGACCTCCCGCCCCCTCTCCGCAGCCCCGACCCTGCGCGGACGGCGGGGCCGCGTCGCTCGCGCCGCACCTCGGCGCGGCGCCTCCGCGGGAGGAGCTCGGCGGCGACCGGGCGCGGATGGGGCGGCCCGCCACGCCGCCTGCCGCGGAGGAGAGCGGCCGAGCGTACCCCGCGCAACGAGTCGGTGTTCTATCACGCGCGCGGGCGCGTGCTCGAGGAGGAAACCGGGCCGCGAGGAGCATCGGGGGCAGGAGGCGGGAGTTCCGAGAGGCAGGGCGAGGGAGCACAGAGGCACGACGGGGGAGATCGGCAGCAGGAGCGCCCACGCCGCGGAGGAGAGAGAGAGAGAGAGAGAGAGAGCCAGGCTGAGACGAAACCAGGACGAGGATAGAATCGGGTGAGGATGGATCGAGAATCTCCGAGAGCCAGCGGCTCTGGAGGACGTCTCGGGCGCCGCGGCCTTCTCGGAGCGTGCCCGGATGCTCTGTGAGCGTTCCAGAACGCTCTGGAACGGATTCATCATCGCCGTCCGACAGACCCCCTCGAGTCCTCCGAGTCATGAAAAAATCACGACAGAAGGCGTTTCAGTATTTTCGGCCTCTGTGGGCCCTGCCGGGCCTCGGGGCCGTCAAAAGACGACTCGGGATGAAAAACTGGTCCTGGGGAATGGGTCAAGACCTCTGGGGGTCGGCAGTAGGAACCCAATGACGTCGGGGGCCTGGGAAACCACCATAATAGATCATCACATACAATACCACTCACCAGCAGACCTATCCAAACCCTGATGACCAGGCCAGAACAGACTAGAGGAGAGTACACCCCGCGCATGAAGTTGTTCCTCCCCTCCACTCCTCCCTCTCTCTCTTTCTCTCTTCCTCTCCCTCCAGGAACAAAAACGGTAAAAGCATACACGCGCGGAGGTCCGCGCGGATTTCTTGGATCGGCGCTGGAGCCCCCTGGTGGGGCCTCCGGCGAAGCCCCTGGCGTGCTCCGCGCTCCAGTGAGGGGGGTCCAGCGATGATCCAAGAAATCCGCGCGGAGCTTCGAAAATTTATGACATTTCGTTGTTGCGACCCGAAAGAGAGAGAGAGAGAGAGAGAGAGAGAAAGAGAGAGAGAGAGAGAGAGACAGACAAGCAGACAGACAGAGAGAGACAGACAGACAGACAGACAGACAGACAGACAGACAGACAGACAGACAGACAGACAGACAGGCAGGCAGGCAGGCAGGCAGACAGACAGAAACAGAGGGAGAGAGAGAGAGAGAGAGAAAAAAAAAAACAAGAAGAGAGAGAGAGGAAAGGGTGGGGGAAGGACACACAAATTCATGCCATACTTTCACCCGGTCGGGTGTGGCCAGGCCACGGTTTCGATAGGTCTGTTGGTGAATGGTATGGTCTGCGATGATCAGTTGTGGTCTCGCATTGCCTGGCTGGAAAAAGCGTACTGCATGATATCAAATTTGCTGCGATGCGGCACGAGTCCGATAAGGCACACACAATGGCACGTTCGCAAATTGACACCGCGGTCGGGTATCAATCTGCGAACTTGCCCCGACTGTGCGACCGTGCTCCACAAATTGCAACATGTACCGTGTACGCGGGTTTAGCGTTCGCTCGAGAATGTGCGTTCTTGCCTTCTTGCCCGCTCCGAACACCGTGCATTTTGAGACTTGTATGCCAAGTGATATCCGTCTTGCACCTGTACAAAACCTACGCACCCCCAATACTGTCGCGTCGCGCTCCATGCCCAGTGTAAACTGGCGTCAACTTGCAACATGTGTGTGCCTCCCCGTTCTGGTCACCGGCTTTTCGAAGCCAGGTCCCCAATTAGCGCTTGCACTGGATGGATCCTAAAGGAAGCTGAAACAGAGGTGGAAGAGTCCTGCCGGCTTGGCTTCGGTAGGCGGACGGGTTCGGGAATCCCTGAGATGTCGGTAGGCGGTCAGGTTCCCGTGTTCCCACGCTCCTGTGTCTGTAAAGTCATGGCGGTCACGCCAAGGCAGATTGGGTGGGCGGGCGGGCTCACGGGTTCTGGACTCCCTGGTTCCAAGTTCACGGGTCTTCACGTTCTTGGCTGCGGCCACGTGCCCGAATCCTCGCGAGCACGGGCAAAGTAGAGGGCAGACAGTAGATATCACCACTATCATGATCATCAACATCATCATCATCATCATCATCATCATCATCATCATCATCATCATCATCATCATCATCATCGTCATCATCATCATCAGCATCATCAGCATCATCAACATCATCGTCATCATCATCAGCATCCTCATCATAATCATCAACATGATGATCATCATCATCATCATCATCATCATCATCAGCATCATCATCACCATCATCATCAGCATCATCATTAGCATTTCCTCCTCCTCATCCTCCTTGTCGTCGTCGGCGGCGGCGGCAACATCATCATGAATCATCCTCCCTCTTCTGCATACTCCTCCGTAATTATCCACCACTAAGTGCCGATCGAAGTGTCCAGTCCAAGGACTGAGGTGTCCCCAGCCTGGGGGTTTGGGGGGGCGCCTGCTCACCCACGGGACCTCCATCGTGAGCTGCCCGACAGACACGAGAGACCCAAGCCTCTTAGACGGGAGCGATGGGGGCAACGCCCATGGGAGGGCGGTGGGAGGCGCCATAGTTCGCTGGATTGCGTCCAGATCGCTAACGATTGCACTCCTGCAAGGATTAACCTGCAACTACTGTTGCACCTACTCTGGCACCCTCATCTGTGCTGCCCCCACTACTCCAGCGTAGAAACATCCAGTGCCCTGAATAGAAATCGGACTAAACATCCACAGGCCTTGTGAGTCGTGAGCCCCTCCCGCTCCGACAGAAGTCGAACAACGTCGTAATCGAGTCGAAGGGACCCCATTTCCTTTGATTCCTTCTTCGCCAGTGCGGGATGTGGGGGATCCCGAGAAGGGGTCGCTTGTAGAGGCCTCCTAGATGGGGTCGGAGTAGATAGGGTCGGGGAATTACGCAGCATGGCCGATGAATCGGCGATGTATCGGCGATGCATCTGCGATTTATCGTCGACGTCGGCGATGATGCTGAAGCAAAGCGGGCTCCACATCGAGCCGCATCGCCGATGCATCGGCGATGCGGCACGATCCTCCGACCCCGTCTGCTCCGACCCCATTGGCCCCATTTCCTTTGATTCCTTCTTCGCCTTGAGGGGGGGGGGATGTGGGGGTTCCCGGGAAGGGGTCGCTTGGACGGGGTCCCGGGAAGGGTTCCGGTCCGGGGGGGGGGGCGGGCGGATCGTGACCCGCCCCCCCATGCCGACCGGGAGGGCCCAAAAGAGTCCCAGAGAGCCGCAAAAAGGGAAATACTTCAGTGGCAACTCGTGGGAGCCTCCCATACCACCTTGTCGGCTCTTGCGAAGCGACGCTACTCGACGCAAAATCGACGCTGATCGACGCTAAATCGAGGCTAATCGACGCTGGCCGACGTTGAGTCGGCGCTACCTCGTCGACTCCCGGACGCCAATCGACGCTAACGACGGAGTCAAGAGGGTATACCAGGCTCCCATGATCTGCTACCGAGAAAGCCCTAAGAGGCGCCCCAGATCCCCGAAGCAGGCCACAGAGCTACTCTCAAGACGCCACACAGCAGCACCAAGAGCACCCAGCCACCCCCACAGAGGCCCAGGGGCAGAGGGGCGAAACCCACCGATGTCCTGAAGGCTTCCTCCTCCTCCTCCTCCTCCTCCTCCTCCTCCTCCTCCTCCTCCTCCTCCTCCTCCTCCTCCTCTCCTCCCCCTCCTCCTCCTCCTCTCCTCCTCCTCCTCCTCCTCCTCCTCCTCCTCCTCCTCCTCCTCCTCCTCCTCCTCCTCCTCCTCCTCCCTCCTCCTCCTCCTCCTCCTCCTCCCTCCTCCTCCTCCTCCTCCTCTTCCTCCTCCTCCTCCTCCCTCCTCCTCCTCCCCTCCTCCTCCTCTCCTCTCCCCTCCTCTCTTCCTCTCTTCCTCCTCCTCCTCCTCCTCCTCCCCTCCTCCTCCTCCTCCTCCTCCTCCTCCTCCTCTCCTCCTCCTCCTCCTCCTCTCCTCCTCCTCCTCCTCCTCCTCCTCCTCCTCCTCCTCCTCCTCCTCCTCCTCCTCCTCCTCCTCCTTCGCATACTCCGCTCCAGCTGCTCTCGAGCTCTCACCCCTCGAACCTCTCACGCTCAGCAAGGGCCCGCGAAGGCCCCTCGGGATCGCCCCCCAGACGACCCCGGCCCTCCCCGAGACGGCCCCCACGACGGCCCACGAAGGCCCCACGAGGGCCCAAGGCCGCCGCAAGGACAGCCCCAAAGAGGCACCCCACGAGCCCCCCAAAGAGCACCCCATAACGAGTCCTCATAAGAAGCACCACAAGAAGCACCAGAACAAGCACCCCCATGAGAAGTCCTCCCCGAGGCGGCCCCTACGACGGCCCACGAAGGCCCCGCGGTGGCCCAAGGCCGCCGCAGGACGGCCCCAACGAGGCACCCCCGGAGCCCCCAAACAAAGGAGCCCAGGACGGCCCCGTACGAGGCCTCGCACGATCCAGGACGTCCCAAGGAGGGCCCCACGTAGATCGCCACAGGATACAGAGAGCAGGAGATCCACCCCCACAAGAAGCACCCCGACGAGCGAAGCCGTTTGGTAAGCGTGCCCATGGAAGGAATCGAACGGGGCCGGGCTGGCTAGTACGCCCGGGGCCGTTCAGTAAACGCGAATTGTCGGGGTCGGGGTGGTGTTTCCACCCTTGAAGAAGCGCTCCAGGCGGAGCACAAGACGGTCCACGAGGGCCCCAAGACGGCCCAAGAATGCCCCTAGACGACCTCTGAAAGGCCCCCCAAGAGAGGCCAACAGGGCCCACGAGAGCCCCCACGAGGCCTCGCGAGCGTCGTCGCCGTCGTCCCCCTTCGGGGTCGGCAGCACCGGCCCAGGGCCTTTGCGGCAAACAGAGGGATCAAACGTGGGGATCACAGATGGTCAAATCCAGAGCGAGTGCACGCGAATCATCCCCACTGCCCTCATGAGCTAAGCAGCTCATCGATGGGTGCGCGTCCACACTAAGTTGGTGTTCAACAGGTGCACGCACAAGAAAGGCGTTCCCTGGCAAACAGGATCTCTCATGACCCGATTTTGGCATTCAACGCGAGAAGCTGTTCAAACAGCAAACGCGGAGTCTGTCACGAAACCGATGTGGAATTCCTCGCAGGCCCACTCCACGAAGGACCCCGGGAGCAGGCCACCTCGGTTGCCGCCAGGCCCTAGGCCTGCAAGAGGGGCTCAAGAAACCCCCAGGACGCCCCTGAGAGGAGCTCTACAAGCGCGCCAACGCCGCACAGCTGGAGGCCAAGCCTTCCAGCACGACCCAAAGGCCCGCGAGAGGCTCCAAAGAGGCCCACAGCAGGCTCCCCAAACCCTAAGACACGTCCGAGTAGACCCCACACACCCAATCTACGTTATTGCTTTGCATCTCCCGCTGACGTTCTCTGTCCCGTCGCGCCGCGATCCGCCTCGAATCCGTGTCGAATCTGTGTCGAACACGGCGGAATCCGTGTCGAACCCGTGTCGAATCCGCGTGGAGTCCGCGTCACATCCGCGTCGAGCCCGCACCAAGCCCGCGTCGGGCACGAGAGAAGACACCGGCTGATGGCGGGCGCGCACCGAGCCCGCGTCGGGCATGCAGCCTGCCATCCGCAGTGCCTCAGCCTGCTCGGGCGATGAGGTCGAGCAGCCCTGAGAGCAGAGGCGTGGCTGCGGCGATAACAGCAAGCTGACCAAGCATACACTTCCGGAGGTCCACACGGATTTCTCGGACTGGCGCTGGCCCCCCCCCCCCTCCCTGGCGCGCGGAGCGTGCCAGCGGCGGCGCTGGAGGCGCTGCCAGGGAGTCCAGCGCCGATCGGAAGAATCCGCACGTGCCTCCGAAAGTTTACGTTCGTGCCGATCTCTCGTCTTCGACTGAGGGCAGCGGGTGGCCGCGGCGAGCGGGAAGCTCAGGGAGGAGCGCGGCCTGTGCCCGACCGACCAGCTGGTGGGACGGCGTCGGAGGCACAGCGCGCGCGCGGTGGGGGAAGGACGGCGGTCGCGACGGGGGGTCCCTCGCGCCGTCCCTGGTGCGCGGTCGCACCCTCGAGCCGCAGGGGGAGGGGGGGGAACGAGGAAGAGAAGAGGGGGAGGATGTCGCTGGAATCCACTGGTGAAAAAACGTGTGATAAGGAAGAGGGTAGGAGGGGCGGAGGAGGAGGAAGGAGGTTGGGAGATGGGGCGGAGGTAGATGGGCGAGGAGGATGGGCGGACAGGTGAGGGACGATGGGGGATGATGAGGATGAGGATGCTGATGATGCTGATGCTGATGCTGATGCTGATACTGATGAGTATGCTGATGTCGATGCTGATGCTGATGCTGATGCTGATGCTGATGCTGATGATAATGATGATGCTGATGATGATGATGATGATGATGGTGGTGGTGGTGGTGATGATGATGATGATGATGGTGTTGATGATCATGATGATGATGATGATGATGGTGATTATGGTGATGATGCTTATGATGATGCTGATGATGATGTTGATGATGATGATGATCATGATAGTGATGATGATGATGATGAAGATGAAGATGGAGATGATGCTGATCATGATGATGATGCCGATGCTGATGATGATGAGGGAGGGAGGGATGGAGGGCGAGGAAAAGGCTGACACCTTGTTGTCGCATGCCAGGCCGCGTCCGACCTGGACAACCCTCCATAGCAGGCGTGCGTGACGTTCGGGTGCGTCTCCATTGCCCGCATGCTCGCCTTTGTCCTTGCACCTGCGCCTGTCGCACCCCGGCTCCTTGCTCCTGTCCTTGTCCTTGCCCTGCGCTGTCGCGCCCTGTCCTTGTCCTTGCTCCTTGCACCTGCGCCTGTCCGGCTCCGCATCGGCAATGCGGCGCAGTCCTCCCGCTCGGGGATCTACTGACCCAGGTCAATCTAGACCGGATCAATCAGGCTTTGCAGGATCCTGCAAGATCCTGCAAGATCCTGCAAGATCCTGCGCCCAGGCCCAGGTCAGAGCGCCCCTGGGCCTGCAGGATCCTGCAAGATCTGATGGGCCTGTTTTCCACCACAACCACCAACACCATAAGTTGGAGGTGGAGGGGGTCCTCCTCCTCCTCCACCTCCTCCTCGTCCTCCTCCTCCTCGTCCTCCTCCTCCTCCTCGTCCTCCTCCTCCTCGTCCTCCACCTCCTTCCCCGCTCCAACTTGTGGTGGTGGTGGTGGTGGTGGTGGTGGTGGTGGTGGTGGTCCCGGCGCTCCGACTGACCCCCGCTTGCACTGACCCCCGTCTCTTGGGAGGCCCGGAAGCACGCGCGGGCGCCGCGCGCGGCGGAGGGCGGGGGCGATCTCCTGCAGCGCGCGGGGGCCCGCGGCTGCGCGGTCGCAGCGCCTGCCACCTCGAGGAGTCGGCGGCCACGACTGGGACACAGAGGGACAAGCGTAGAAGAAAAGAAACAAAAAAACCGTAAACATAAACTTGTGGCGCTCCGCTCGGAGTTCCTGGATCTGCGCTGGACCCCCGTCCGCGGCGCGCGGAGCGCGACCGGGGAGGCCACCTGGCCAGATTTCTCGCATCGGCGCGAGCGGCGCCGGCTGGGCCCCCCCTGGCGGCGCCTCAAGCGCCGCCCCTGGCGGCCTCCGCGCGCCAGGGGTGGGGGGTCCAGCGCAGATACAACAAAATCCGCGCGGAGCACCACAAGTTTATGTTTTTGGCGTTTTTTGCTGTTATTATGTATCTTATGCATCTTCTTATTATTCTTCTTATTATCATGATTATTCTTCTGATTATTCGTATCATTCTGATTATCATTATTATTATTATTATTATTAGTAGTATCATTAGTATTAGTATTGTTACTATTGTTGTTATTATTATTAGTATTATTATTATTAGTATTATTATTATTGATACTATTATTATTATTATTATTATTGTTGGTATTATTGGTATTATTATTATTATTGTTATTATTATCCTCGGTGATATTTGTTGTTGTTTTATTCTTCTCATTATTAGCATTCTTCTTATTCTTGTACCAGCGTGGCCTCCTCGGAGGCGTGCGTCCGCATGAACGTGCAATGCATCCACATTGCCGTGCGCTCCTCGTTTCCCGAGCGGCACGGCCAGACAGCGCCCGCCACGGAGCAGATCGGAGGCTGCGGGGCGAGATTGCAGTGGAACGGCGAGCCCCACACCGGGAGATCGGTGCCGGCTTCGTGCTCGTGCTGCGCGTGCGGGCGAGGCGACGCCGCGTGGGCGCGCGACGGGAAGGATGCCGCCGTGGCCGCGGGCCGCGGAGCCGCTCGACCGCCCCACCCCCGGTACAGGCGAGCGGGTGCCCCGCGGGGTGCCCCGTCGGTGGCGCGGGGGTGCCCCGTCGGCGGCGCGGGGTGCCCCGTCGGTGGCGGCGGGGTCTCCCGACGGTGGCTCGGGATGTCCCGCCGTGGTGTGTCGATGGCAGCTCGTGAGATCAGCTGCGAGTTCGATCGCGTGAGCGGTCGCGATCGTGAGGCCGATCGTGACATCGAGAGACTGATATGACGGGGCCCCGGGACACACAGATAAATACACACGAATCCGCCGACCCCTTGGGGCTCATCGGCGCGTGAGATCCTCCCCCTCCCCAAACCCCTCCCCCGGGAGCCCGGTCCGGTCGATTTGGAAGGGGGGGGGGTCTGTTCAAACTCCCTGGTTCCCCTGGGGGGGTCATCCGCTCCCGAAAATCCTGCAGGGACTCCTCCGGTGGCCTCGAAATGGCCTCGGGACGCACCACGACGGCTCAAGAGGACTTCCACGTGGCCTTCGGTGGCTCCAAAATTCCCCAATATGGGCTCAAGACAGCCCACGATGCCTCCAAGACGCTCCAAGAGGCCCCGAAGGGGCGCTCCAAGAAGGTCCAAAGCAGCGAAAATCATTGATTTTCCATGGGGAAACCTACATTTTTAGCATCGACGACAATTCAGCCTGCACGGAGTTCCAGCCAGTCTAAGAGGCCCCCAAAGCCACCCCATGACGTCCCAAAAGGGTCCCAAAAAGGCGCCCAAGACGGCCCAAAACGGCGCAGAGACGGCCCCAGAGGCTCCCGAATCGCCCCAACTGAGTCCCAAGACTGCTCCTAGAGGGGCCCCAGCGGCGGAGCCCGAACCGAAAATCCGAACCCTCCGCTCCCACGAGCCGCCCAAAAGGTCCCAGGAGAACCCCAAAAGACCTCCAAAAAGCGTCCGGGAGGCCCAAAAGAGGCCCCAAGAGGCCCCAAAACGGCTATCAGTGAACTTCGAAACTACCTCCACGAAGCCTGCGAGATGCCTCCCCAAAGATCCCAGCGAACATCGCACAAGCCTCAGACCCACAACCCGGGCACGGTGGCGTGACATGCCGACTGTAAGTAGATCGTGTTTCCAGTTCCTCTCCCTCCTCCTCTTCAGCACCCTTCTCCTCCCTCATCCCTCCGCCCTCCTCTTCCTCTCCTTCCTTCTTGCATCCTCCCTTCCTTTCCCTCATCCTCTTTCCCCAGCCTTGCCCTCCTCCCCCCCATCCTCCTTCCTCCACCTACCCCTAGGTCCCGGCGGTCAGATCCCTCGCAACTTCCTCGCAAGGAAGGAGGACGACGAGGAAGGAGGAAGAAAGAAGGAAGAAGGTAGAAGGAGAGAGGAGGGAGGAGGGGGAGGAGGAGAAGCAGGAGGAGGAAGAGGACGACGAGGAAGAAGGAGGAAGGAGGAAGGAGGGAGAAGGGAGGAAAGGGAGGAGAAGAAGGGGGAGCTTAAATCCGCTACCTCCTTGTGGGTCTCCAGACGTGTGAGATAGTCCCCCCCCCAGTGACCCCCCCAGGGACCTCAAACCGGAGATTTGCCCCCCCCGGGCCCGGCAAGAGCGCGTCACGGGACTCTTCCGGGGTCAAGAGGGTCTACACACGGGCCAAGAAGGCCCCAAGAAGCCTCCAAGACGGCCCACGAGAGCTCCGAGACGCCAAACGACCTCTCCGACTTCGGTAGTCTTCTCTTGCACGCGCCGCTCCTGTCGCCTTTTGATGATTCCCAACCTGTTGCTGCTGCAAATGTCTCGTGTCCGAGAACGCTCCTCCGCGCGCCGCGCACGTCACGTCGCACCTCGTTCTCTCGCCCCTCCGCGCATTTCCGACAGAACCTCTCCCCCGATGAATTGTGCTTCTTCTGTGCACCCGACATTTCCGCCTGCTCTTTCAACAGCGTCAGACATGTCTTGTT